GTCAAGTCAAGTGAAGTCTCGCCAAGTCACGTCAAGTCACGTCACATCACGGCAAGTCACGCTAAGTCACGTCAAGTCAGGTGAAGTCACGTCAAGTCAGGTGAAGTCACGCCAAGTCACGTCACGTCAAGTCACTCTAAGTCACGCCACGTCACGCTAAGTTACGCCAAGTCACGTCACTTCACTTCAACTCACCTCACTTCACCTATCTTAACAGTTGGGAATGGTACCCCTCAGTTACTGATTGATGCGGACAAGTCTACTGCGCAAAACTATCCTAACTTAACCTAACCTAACCTAACCCAACCTAACCTATTCTAACCTAACCTAACCTAACCTACTCTAGCCTACTCTAGCCTCGGCCCGCCTCGCCCCGTTTCGCTTCGCCTCACGTCAAATTACGTCAAGTCACATCATGTCACGCCAAGTCAGGTCAAGTCACGCCAACTCACGTCAAATCACGAGAAGTCACGCCAAGTCACGTCACGTCACCTCACCTCACTTTACCTATCTTAACAGTTGGGAATGGTACCCCTCAGTTACTGATTGATGCGGACAAGTCTACTGCGCAAACCTGACCTACCGTATCTTAACCTAACCCAACCTAACCTAACCTAACCTAAACTAACCTAACCTAACCTACCCTAGCCTAGCCTCGGCTCGCCTCGCCCTGTCTCGCCTCGCCCCGTCTCGCCTCGCCTCACGTCAAATTACGCCAAGTCACGTCAAGTCAGATGAAGTCACGCCAAGTCACGTCAAGTCACGTCACATCACGGCAAGTCACACTAAGTCACGTCAAGTCACGCCAAGTCACGCTAAGGCACGCCAAGTCACTTCACGTCACTTCACTTCAACTCAACTCACTTCACCTATCTTAACAGCAGGGAAATCTTACTTCTCAGTTACTGATTGGTGCGCACAAGTCTACTGCGCAAACCTGACCTACCGTAACTTAACCTAACCTAACATAACCTAACCTAACCTAACCTACCCTAGCCACGCCTCGCCTCACCCCGTCTCTCCTCGCCTCATGTCAAATTACGCCAAGTCACTTCAAGTCAGGTGAAGTCACGCCAAGTCATGTCAAGTCACGTCACATCACGGCAAGTCACGCTAAGTCACGTCAAGTCACGCTAAGTCACGTCAAGTCACGCTAAGTCACGCCAAGTCACGCTAAGGTCGCCAAATCAGGCTAAGTCACGCCAAGTCACGTCACGTCACTTCACTTCAACTCACCTCACTTCATCTATCTTAACAGCAGGGAAATCTTACTTCTCAGTTACTGATTGATGCGCAAAAGTCTACTGCGCAGACCAATGCTAACCAAATTTAACACAACCTAACTTAACCTAAACTATCCTAACCTAACCTAACCTACTCTAGCCTACCCTAGCCTTGGATCGCCTAGCACCGTTTCGCTTCGCCTCACGTCAAGTCACGTCATGTCACGCCAAGTCAGGTCAAGTCACGCTAACTCACGCGATGTCAGGTCAAGTCACGCCAACTCACGCAAAGTCAGGTCAAGTCACGTCAAGTCACGCTAAGTCACGTCAAGTCAGTCAAGTCACGCCAAGTCACGTCAATTCACTTCAACTCACCTCACTTCACCTATCTTAACAGTAGGGAAATCTTATTTCTCAGTTACTGATTGATGCGCACAAGTCTACTGCGTAAACCTGACCTACCGTATCTTAACCTAACTTAGCCTAACCTAACCTAACCTAGCCAACCTTATCCTCGGCTCGCCTCGACCCGTCTCGCCACACGTCACGTCAAATTACGTCAAGTCACGTCATGTCACGCCAAGACACGCCAAGTCACACCAAGTCACGTCAAGTCAAGCCAAGTCACGTCACGTCACGTAATTTCACGTCACGTCACCTCACATCACCTAACCTCACCTCACCTAACGTAACAGCAGGGATTGTTACCCCCCAGTTACTGATTGATTCGCACAAGTCTACTGCGCAAACTTAACCTACCCTATCTTAACCTAACCTACCCTAGACTCGGCTCGCCTCGCCCCATATCGCCTCACGTCAAATTAGACAAGTCACGTCATGTCACGTCAAATCACGGCAAGTCACGTCAAGTCACGCCAAGTCACGTCACCTCCCCTCACTTCACCTATCTTAACAGCAGGGAATGGTACCCCTTAGTTACTAATTGATGCGCACAATTCTACTGCGCAAACCTATTCTAACCTAACCTAGCCTAACCTAACCTATCCCAACCTAACTTAACCTAACCAAACCTAGCCTCGGCTCGCCTCGCGTCAAATTACCTCAAGTCACGTCATGCCACGCCAAGTCACTTCACCTCACGTCACGACACCTCAACTCACCTCACCTCACCTAATTTAACAGCTGGGAATGGTACCCCTCAGTTACTGATTGATGCTCAAACCTACCCTAACCTAACGTAACCTAATCTAACCTAACCTCACCTAACCCAACCTAACTTACCCTCGCCTCGCCTCACGTC